GTTTACAAGAAGATCGACACTAATCCCTGGTAACCTGGACCAAGCGTGAGCAGAAATTCTAGAACCAAATATTAAACAGACTGTTGTTGTGAAGTGCCGTTGAGTCGGTTCTGACCCATAGCGACCCTGTATAGGGTTTTCAAGGAGCAGCTGGTGAGTTTGAACCACCGACCTTGCAGTTCAAATGACTTTGCAGTCTGATGCATTAGCCCACAGCAGAAAACAATACAGAGGTCATTAGGAGCCAGCAGCTTTATTCAGAACAAGTCAGGATGATCCTCATTTCCCTTTGATGAAAGATTATTACTGAGAGGAGGATCAAGGGATCATCATGGACGTTCCGCTTTTAGTTGACATTTTACAGACTTGTGGGAAAGACGCAAATTTGAAAACTGAACTTGATTTAGAGTTTAAAGGAAACTTTAGCACCTAATCCAACTTCCTCATTAGAAGAATTAGATGGTTTAACAATCATTCCCAAGGAATATTTCCTATTGGTTCAGTGTTAACCTGGAAAAAATTTCGAGTGATTGGTTTCTGACTTAAGCCCTATAGTTTAGAATCATTTTACTAATGACTTGGATGAAGGTGTGAAAAAAGGTTTGAAATTAACAGGTGATAAGGTAAAGCATTTGGATCAGAGAACTAAGATTCAGAAAGGTCCAGGCAAGTAGGGAAAAATGGACTCAAAACGAACTCATTTAGCAAAGATGCATTTCATCTATGTGGGAATTCAGAATGAAAAGGCACACAGACTGGCTGGGAGCAAACATGGCTTTTTCCTCTAGGATATTGTTCTACCCTCTGGGTATATCAGTAGCAGCCCATCCCCCAAGTCTTGAAAACCAAAAATGACTCCAGACATTGATAAATGTTCCCTGAGGATCCAAATCTCTCAATTAAGAATCACAAAGATAAATTGATGCACTTCTAGGGGAAAGTCTTAATGGATTTTAGTTAGCTATAAGTACAGTGTAAGCATTGTCAGCAAAATAAATGCAATCTGAGGATGCACTTTCACCACTATGAATTTTCCAGTTGTCCTTGAGTTGACTTTGACTCATGACAACCCCATGTGTGTCAGAGAACTGTGCTCCAGAGGCTTTCAATGGCTGAGTTTTCAAACACAGGTCATCAAGATTTTCTTCTGAGGCACCTTTAGGTAGACCAGAATTGCCAACTTTTTATTTAACAATAAAATATGTTAAGTGTTTACCCCACCCAGAGATTCCTCTACTACTATTGTTGTTGTTGTTACATGCTGTTGAGTCGAGTTCAACTCACAGTGACCCTGCATAGGATTTCTGAGGAGTGGCTGGTGGGTTTGAACTGCCGACCTTGTGATTAGCAGTCCATTGCTTATGCTACAATGCCACAGTAATAACTAAAACTAGAAACAACAATAGAAAACCATTGTCCTTGAGTTCCTACTCCTAGTGACCCTATAGGGCAATGTAGGGTTAGGCCCCTAAGGTTTACAGAAGCAGACCGCCACATATTTCTCCTGCTGAATGGCAGGTGTGTTTGAACTGCTGACCTTTCAGTTAGCAACAGAGCTCTCTCTCTAATCACTGCTCCACTGGGGCTTCTGATAATTACCGTTCAGTGTTTATTCTGTTTTTAGCCCTTTGCTAAGCTTTTTATGTATGTGTCCTCACATGAGCCCTATGAGGTAGGATTATTATTGTCTCCATTTTTCAGATGAGAACACTGAGTCCCAGGTCTCACAATCCAGGTGGTTGAGCCAGGGCTGAGTCACTCTAGAGCCTGTGCTCTTTGCCCATTCTGCTCCATAAGTGTTTTGAACCACACACTAGGTGTACACATAAAGTAGTGCCCCAGGATGTAGCTCTCCCAAAACCTTGAACATAGCTGAGAAGCAAGCTATAGGCTCTAGTGGCTTAGATCCCCTACACCCCCTTTTCCTTCCAGCATCCAAAAGCAGTGATCTACCCTGTAGCCATGGCCCCAACCTTCTGTCAGTAGCTCATTGACTTAATTCATACAAAATTCTAATATGCTAATTATCACACCATCAGACTCATAGAGTAACTCTGAGACAAATGCTTAATAGATGCCCTGTGACATTCTGAAGACATTTGATTTTCTGGGACCCCTAGTTCTTAAGCACTGGCCAGGAATCTATCTGTTAGTGGAGCCTTGAATGTTGTTATGATGCTGAACAGGTTTCAGAGGAGTGTCCAGACTAAGACAAACTAGGAAGAAAGGTCTGGCAATTGACTTCCAAAACTCAGCCAAGCAAAGTGCTATGGCTCACAATGGTCCTATCTCTAACCCATCATGGGATGGGGCAGGACCCGCAGGCAGTGCTTTGTTCCTTTGAGCATGTGATCTGGTTGAGTCAGGTCGATTTGATGGCAACTAACAACAACAACAACAGTGTGGCTCTGGGTCAGATGCAGAGGTCACTGGGATGGTAGTCCTCTCACTGTGAATTGTCTACTGTGGGGGAGGGTGGCAGGAGGGCTAAGAGCTTGGTAGCCCAGTGCCACAAAAGAGTCTGAGCAGTGTCAACTGGCATGACCTGTCCTCCTCATCTCTCCCAGTGGCAGTCTTGGAGCTCACCTCTGCTGACTTGCAGACTCCCAGGAATAACAAAGAGCACCACACACTGGAGATGGGACTAAAACGGCTCATTGTGCGTCGCGGCCAAGCCTTCGTCATCGTCCTGAACTTTAATCGGAGCTTCCGACCCCAGTTCGACAACATCAGCTTTGTGGCCGAGACCGGTGAGTTTGCCCTCTGCCCCAAGGCCCCATGGGCTCCCTCAAAATGGGGCACTAGTAAAGTTCACCTACAGGGCCCCTGCCCCTCCTTTCTGAGCCTCCCTTCCCTCTCTTCTCCTGGGGTCTCCCCAGGACCCACATGCTCAGTCTTTCTCAGTACTATTTAAGAAAGATCTAGCTATTCTCTCAGCAAGTTGAGAAGGCATGGCAGTGGTGGTGGTATGCCGTGGAGTTGGTTCCAACTCATAGCGACCCTGTACAGGGTTTCCGAGGCTGTCTATCTTTACGGGAGCAGAAAGCCTCATATTTCTCCCGTGGAATGGCTGGTAGTTTTGAACTGCTGACCTTGAGGTTAACAGACCGACTCGTAACCACTAAGGTACCAGAGCTCCTTTGAGAAGGCATAGGAATAATTTAAAAAACAAACTAGTTGCCACTGAGTCGCTTCTAACTCAAGGCATGTGTCAGAGTAGAGCTGCGCTCCATAGGGTTTTCGATGGCTGATTTCTCAGCAGCGTTCCAGGCCTTTTTTCTAAGGTGCCTCTAGGTGGACTTGACTCAGCAACCTTTTGGTTTGCAGTGAACACAATTAACCATTTGCACTACCCAGGGACTCCAGGGCAATAACAGTCAACGTTTAATTACATACCACACACTCTGCTAAAACACTGTATACATTCTCTTATTGAAGCTGTAAGACAAGACTTACAACTAGATACCATTACAATCCTAATTTTACAGATAAGAAAACTGAGGCTCAGAGATCGTGTCTTGTCCAAGGGTGCCTAGTGGCAGGTTTAGCAAGAGGTGGGAGAAGGTGGGGGCACTTTCAGTGCCCCTGGAATCACTTTACAAAGATATGTGAGCTTGGGATCATTCTCCTAAACAGGACCAGAGCCTATGGAACTACTGGGAACCCGAGCTACCTTCGTACTCACCCAGGTGCAACACGGGAATGTCTGGAGTGCTTTTGACTTCACCATTAACCTGAACTCCATTCAAGTCTCCCTCTTCACACCAGCCAATGCAATCATCGGTCCCTACACACTCAAGATCCAGATCTCCCAGGGTCAAGGTCACAGTGTAACTTACTTGGTGGGGACATTCATCTTGCTTTTTAACCCTTGGAATACAGGTAAGACCTGCTCATAGGTTGTAATGCTAACCCCAGCTATTGGGAATGCTGTGGCATTCTTCTAGAAAGCCCAGAAGATACATGGCTGCATATCTGTCAGATATAATATCATGTCTTCATCAAAAATAATCTTTACAGAAGAAAACATTCATTAGTAAGTGAAATCAATTAAGAAATGAAATGCAATAAGATCCTAATTGTTTTAAGTACAAGTATCTGAGGCTGCTTCAAAAAGCTCATGGGATGAAAAGATAATGGAATTTTCCTATCAGCTTTTGAACACCCCCCCCACCCCATATATGTATAGAAAGAGTGACCAAGATAATGTAACAGTGTATGTCTCTGGGGAGTAGGGATGATTGCTATCATTGTCTATTATTTTTTTAGATCTCTACAGCAAGCCTGTCACTTTGACACTCAGGAAAAAAATATTTTATTTTTTAAAGTTTTTATTGTGAATTCAGTGCAAGTTTATAGGGCAGATCATCAATTTTACCTTCAACAAATCATATACTTTGTTTCATTTCAATACAATTAGTATTTTTTAAGGTACAGATTCTATTCTGGCCTCTAGAAAAACATATTGCAGTCTCCATGGGGCTTTGGTCTTCAGTTCTGTTCCCATTTACCACTTCTCCTGTTTTTCAGCAAGAAGTTCTTATTACTGCTTTTTAATTGTATTCTGTTTTGGTTTGGGGGTTTGTACCCTGCACCACTCTGACTTGCTCAGAGGATGATGTGTACATGCCAAGTGAAATCCTGCTTCAGGAGTACATCTTGATGGACTACGGCTTTGTTTACAAGGGTCACGAGAGATTCATCACTACGTGGCCTTGGAACTACGGGCAGGTAAAAGTGTCATCCAGGCTTGGGTCTGGAGCAGGGACTCCTTGAGGTTGATGCCTAGATGACTCTGTTAGCTTATGATGGGCTGCTAATCAGAGTCAGGGTGTGGGATGCTGAGCCAATTCGCCACCTAATAAGAAGGCCAAGGAAGGAAGGAAAGACTTCTTTCCTTTTTAGTTTTGAGTACTTTATTATGGAAAACTTAAAACATAATCAAAGTAGAAAAGAGCCCAAACCAGTTGCTGTCAAGTTGATTTGACTCATGATGACTCTGTGTGTGCAGAGTAGAACTGCTCCTCAGCATTTTCACCTTCAGATGGCCATGCCTTTCTTCCAAGGATCTTCTGGGTGGGTTCCAATCACCAGCTTTTCAGCTAGTACTTGAACCCGTAACCATTTGTGCTACCCAGGAACCCCAAAGTAGACAAATGGCTGTAATACACCTCTATGGACCTATCTCTTCAGTAGTGATCTGTTTAAGGTAAATCCTGTTTCATCTACACCAGCGGTTTACAAACTATATAGCCCATGGACAAGATCTGGTTCATTGTCTCTTTTTTTATCTCACAAGCTAAAAATTATGTTTACATTTTTAAATTGTTAGAAAATATTTTAATAATATTTTGTGACATGTGAAAATTATATAAAATTTAATTGTGATTGTCCATAAATGATGTTTTATTGAAACATAGGCATGCTCATTCATTTAGGAATTGTCTATGGCTGCTTTTATGCTACAATAGCAGAGTTGAGTAGTTTTGACAGAGACCAAATGGCCCCAGAGCCTAAAATACTCACTCTCTAGCCCTTTACAGAAAATGTTTGCCAATCCTGGTCTAAATGCTCTCATTCTCCCCCCACTGATTTTTTAAAGTACAGTGAAGCTACCTTGTCATTTAACCCAGCAATGCTTTAGAATACAGCTGCAAAAGATGATGCCTCTTCCTGAAAAACCTAATCACAATATATATTCATAACTGAAAATAATGAACAGTAATTCTTTAAAAGCGTCAAAGTCCAGTCATTGTATGGAGGGAAACCTTTGATTTTGGGTAACTTTCCCACTCTGAACTGTCCACCACGGCCTGCACAGTTTTGCTTCAACCCTCTGCTACCTCAGCTCTCTGTCCACAAACACCTGGAGGGAAGTGAGTGTGGAGAAAGCAAAGTACAGACCCTGCTGAGGAAGAAGATCACATGTTCCCCATTCTCTACCTGTGACAAATTGTGAAATTAAAAAAAAATGGAGACAACTACCAGTGCATTTGGCAGCCAAAGTGGTTGTGACACATTGCAAACCTATGTCATGAACATATGCCATGGGCCTCCATTACCTTTTCCATGGCTGATAGCATCAGCTCTGAGCTCCACCTCCTGGTTCCCAGGCTCTCCACACTCTTCTCCTTCTCCCAGGCCTGGGCCTGTACTTATCCATCGGATCTTTCCTTACTCCCAAAGTCTTCAAGATTTGAGAACATCTAAGCTCCTTTCTCTGGTGCCCACTATGCTTGCAGACTTATGCTCTTCCTGTCTAATCTGTCCTTCTTGGACATTTCCAGCCAACAGGGATCTCTCCTCTCTCTGAATTCTGTTTGCATTTTCAGTCAGTCACCCAGTTTGGTCCTATGGAATTCTGAATCTAATGCATTCCCAATTTGATTGATAAACTCTTTGAAGGCAGTATCACAATGGTCATCAACAGAGGAGTGAATGCATAAATAATGTGTGGTATATACGAGTACACACAACAGAATACTATTCAGTCATAAAAAGAAATGAAATCATAATACATGCTCAAACATAGATGCATGGGAGAGATGGAGAAAGGGGGAGTCTTGCTTAGGGGCATTGAGTTTATGTTAATGGTAGTGGGATAATGTGGAAAAGGATAGTGAGAATAGTTGTACAACTTGAAGAATTTAATGTGTCACTGAATACATATAGAAATTGTTGAATTGGCATACTTTTTGTTGTGTATTATTTTCATCTCACACACATACAAAGCCTGTGCCAGTAACCTGAAGTTTCAGAACTCAAGACCTTTTTACTCTTCTCTTCCTCATACCTTGAAATGACTCGGAAGTTTGAAGAAGACATCATAGATATTTGCTTTGAGATCTTGAACAGAAACCTGTACTTCTTAAAGAACCCAGTCAAAGACTATTCTCAGCGCAATGACGTGGTATATGTCTGCAGGGTACTCAGCGCCATGGTAAGATGGGGAGGCTTTCTTGTCTCTGTCAGAGGACATCTGGGCTTCCTCAGGGCACTGTGGACACCCATTTGCCTGTCTTTCAGATCAACAGCAACGATGACAATGGTGTGCTGCAGGGGAACTGGGGGGAGGATTACTCCAGAGGAGTCAACCCCCTGGAGTGGAATGGCAGCGTGGCCATCTTGAGGCAGTGGTCAGCCCAGGGCAGGCAGCCTGTGAAGTATGGGCAGTGCTGGGTCTTTGCAGCTGTTATGTGCACTGGTGAGTGAAGGGGAAACGGGAAGTACATCACCTGAGTAGTCATTCATGGAGACCTCATGATAATGCTTTGAGGTTATGGCTGTTATAAACCTCATTTTCACAATAGTGAATGGTGGCCCAGAAAGGTTCAGTAATTTGCCCATGGTCCTACAGCCAGGAAAAGGGGGTGGGGAAATGCTTCAGTTTTTAACCAGGGCACTCACTATACCATCCTGAGGAACACAGCACATTTCAGTGGAGGTGAAGGGGCTAATGGTAGAAACCTGTTGCACATATTAGCATACTCCTTGATGGAGCACTTGTTGTTCATTGCCATTGAGTTGACCCTGACTCATGGGGACCCCATGCACCATGGAATGAAACACTATCTGATGTATCAATATCCATGTTACTGGCTATGGATTGGACCATTGTGATCCAAAGTTTTTACTGGCTGGTTTTTGGGAGTAGGTCTTTCTTCCTAGTCTTAGTCTTAGTCTGGAAGCTCTGTTGAAGTCTATTCAGCACCATAGCACGACATAGGCTTCTACTGACAGATGGATGGTGTCAAAATAGCGTGGCGTGGCATCTGATTTCTAACTTCCTCAGTGGGGAGGAGGAGGATATCGCTATTAGCATCAGTCCAAAACCATGCCTCCACCCTCCAACTTTTTTTTTTTTTTCACCAATTCAGACACCAACTGTTGTTTTCACGGCACTCTCTACTTCTCTGTTAGGTTTGATCATTTGTTACAAAGGCCACACAGAACACACAGACAATAATCATGATTAGGGAATAGATTACAATTCATATCAGAAATGCAGTATACAGTTCTTTGACCTGGACAGTCTCCCCTTAGCCTTGCTTATAAGCATGACTTTCTCCTGTTTGGCCTCTTGGTCCCTATGCTGATCCAGCAAGTGTTACAAAGCTCCTTTAGCTCTGCTGACAAATGCCTGAAGGCACTCCACTCTGTCAGCTAGCCTCCTGCCCAAAGGTTCTTAGCTTCCTCACGTCATGGACTGGGAAGTGCACTGTGCCATCTCCTGACAGCCTCCTGGTTCTGCTGCCTCTGCTGCTGCCACTTCTTGCCATCTCTTACTATCTCTGGTATCACAGCTCTCTGTCTCTTGGATCAAGGAGATTAGTACGTGGATCTCAAGTCCAAAGGACATGCTCCACACCTGGCTCCTCTTTACTGAAGGTAGGGATATCCCTTTCTCCTGCCTCTGGGATGGCTCATTTTAAGCCTAGTGGGATGGCAAAACTGATCAGTACCCAGGTTGGGTTTCTGTATACCTTATTTGCATAGTCCCACCCTGCACAAGAGTGCCATGTACCTACTTACATTATTAGCCAGCTACCAACACCCTTGACAGACCATAAGAACCTCATATTTGCATAGTACTACTGAGTCATTTGAACTTCTGGTGTGGCGCTATAGGATCAGCACTAGACTGTGAACCACAAAGTCAGCAGTTCAAACTCACCACCTGTTCCTTGGAAGCCCTATACAGGGTCACTATGAATTAGAACTGACTCGATGGCACTTAACAACAACAACAACAACAACCCAGCCATTTGGAGTCCTGGTGTGGCACTGTGGGATTAGCTAACCGAAATGTTGGTGGTTCAAACCCACCAGTTGTTCCTTGGAAACCCTATACAGGGTCTCTATGAGTTGGCACCTACTCAACGGCACTTAACAACCACAACAACAGCCCAGTCATTTGGTGGGAGTTTCAAACCTACCAACTGCTCCTCAGAAACCCAAACAGGGTCACTATGAGTTGGAATTGACTTGAAGGCACTTAAGAAAAACAACAAAGACTAAAATTAGAAGCCTGTATCAAGTAATTCACTGCAGTGCAGGCAGTGACTACACTTGAGGTGCAATGGCTGAGAATCTAACCCAGATATTATTTGTTGAATGTAAAGCTGATAATCTTGTCTATAAACCTTCACTCAATTCACAATTCAAGATCTATCTTGAAGTATAATGCTGTCTGTGATAGGATAATAGCCATACACCTACAAGGAAGACCAGTTAATACTAATATTATTCAATTTTATGTACCAATCACTAAAGCAAGTGATGATGTAATTGAAAAATTATATGAACTCCTTCAGTCTGCCATTGATCCATCAAGATGTATTGATAATCAATGGTAATAAAAATGTGAAGGTTGAAAACAAAGAGGAAGTATCAGTAGTTGGAATATATGACCTTGGTAATAGAAATTATGCTGGAGATAGTATGATAGAATTTTGCAAGACCAATGACTTCTTCACTGGAAATATCTTTTTTAAACAACATAAAAGACAACTATATATGTGGACCTCACCAGATGAAATACACAGAAATCAAATTGACTACATCTGTGGAAAGAGATAATCATCAGCCAAAAGAAGGTCAGGGGCAGACTGTGGAACAGACCATCAATTTCTCATATGCAAGTTCAGGCTGATGATGAGGGAAATGAAAACAAGTACAGGAGAGCCAAATATGACCTTGAACATATCTCACTTGAATTTAGAAATCATGCCAAAACCTGTTTTAATGAATTAGACCCTAAAGACCAAAGACCAGAAGAGTTGTGGGATGACATAAAGAAAGCAAAGGGTTAGTAAGAAGACAAGAAAGAA